GGCTCATCAGACCAGCCAATGTTTTTCCAAGCTTCTATTGTCATGGGAATTCTACCCTGAATTTCATGCTGTTGGCTGACAGGAGCAGTGTGGTCTTCTGCTGCTGTAGCCCATCTGCACGTGTGTTTAGAGATGGTCTTCTGCATACCCTGATTGTAACAGGTAGTTGCTTTACTGCCAGTTCTGCCAGTCCACTGACATCAACAAGGCCTTCTCACCCAGAGAACTTCTGCTCACTGGATATGTTTTGTTTTCCTCACCATTCTCTGTAAACCCTAGAGATGCTTGTGTGGGAAACTCCTCATAGAGTAGCAGTTTCTGAAATACCTGCCTGCTTCTGAAAACCATGCTATGGTCATTTTGACCATGTTTACACGTCTGAATACATTGTGGTATCGGCATCTATGAGCGCTTAAGCAGGTGTACCTAATGAATTGGCAGATCGTACTTTATATGGAACCTTTACTATACACTTCACCGAATATATCAAAGATGCTTGTTTGTGAATCCTTATTTCTGATTGTCGTTGTAAGAGCTCTCTCTCTCTCTCTGCCTGCAGGATGACGGGTCGAGAGTTTTTCACCCGCTTTCCGGCTCTATACCCGTTCCTTCTGAACCAGCTGGAGGAAGCTGCAGCCACAGTGGAAAGGTAAGGCGGCGCTCTTAAATCCACACACGCACACTTGCCATGGCTTTTTGCACATCCTCGGTCCTATTATGGGTTCACTTTGACTTGCATTTCAGCTCTACAAGACAGCCTTTTTTGTTTGCTTAAGCTGATTAAGCAGTGGTGCTTTTCACTGGCAGGCTTTCTGGTGGAAGAAGCAAGGATAGCGCAACTTTTTATCAGTCCGGAAGCTAGGTTTTTCTCAAAGAGCTCTGCTCTTTTTCCTCTGCATTGAATTCTCATGTGGGCCTTTTTCTAAATTGCTTAGCTGACAGACAATTGTTCAAAGCACAGAGCTTTACGAGCGAATAAAACAAATGTCTTGTTGAGATTTTGCTACAGTTTTTGGAGTGGAGAGTTGGGTCCACTTGGGTTCATCGGTCTTATCTTTGTCAGCTCACTCCAGACTCCCTTTTTAAAAGCATATGAGTCATCCAACAGCTGCACAGGCGGCCTTATCTTAATATGGATCCAATTAATTGAAAGCTCTTTCAGGCCAGCTCTTTCACAATTCCCCCCTACACCCCGCGACCCTTGTTAAAACATTTGCAAATTTCCCACGGAACCAGATCCCGGCTGTCTGACTTCCCACATCTCAGCGTATCGCGCCACCCAAACAGACCAACCGCACCAAACTGTAGCCATACGCTGCAGGACTGGAGGTAAGAGGGCTGCTGTTAGTGGTTTTTTTAAACAGACGTGAAAGAGTGTGTTTCCAAAATAGGCCAACGATATAGGAAAGATTATAGAAGCAGGATCTGGACCTGTGTAAGGCTGTATATTTGTGGATTATGTAATCCGCCCTTCCTGCAGAAATCCCTCTTATTACTAAAGCTGCGAGATGTGTAGTACACAAGCTGACATGGAAAACACTGGACAAGCAGAGTATGTGCTTCTTCCTGCAGTAAGCATTGTTGTTGCATGCAGACAAGTAAGTCTTGCTGATGTTGGCATGTTTCAGCCTTGATGAGCTTTGTAATCATAGTTTTTAAATAAAATTCTTGGTGGCAGTATTTAAACCTGCAAAGCTGACTCTGATTATCTTCTTTTAATACTCACTGTAGTGACTATTAAACAGTTTTCATAGCTGTATGGATTCAAACAATTCTGAAGTCTTTACTCCTGATAAAAGACGCTTTTCATTACTTTATGAGCTTTATTAGCTCCAAAAGCTCAGTTTCACTTGTTGATAGCAAAGCAATGCAGATGGACCAGCACATGGCATGCTCTCTACAGGCATTCAAGCCTTATTAGAGCCACCAAGTGTTTGATACAGGGCAGCTAGTGTACAAGGTGTTTCCCTGACAGCAGCTGGTTACTGTGAGAGATGACCTGTTATCACTGCCTGTACAGCTGAACAGTGATCTCTGTATAATCAACCGCCTACACTCTGATTCTTACCTCTTAAAAATGACTCCCACCATGAGTTTAAACTGTTTTTATTTTATTGTTATAGAAATATTGTTTAAAGCACCATCTTTCTGCCATCATTCTCCTTTTTAGTTTTTTTGGCAACACGTTACACTGTATATCCATATATTTTATATATACTATCCATAAATGAAGATAAAGATACTCATCATGGTATCAAACAAAGTCAGATGAACTTCAGGGATATGAATGTGTTGAGTTAGAAAGCACAAAACATTGTGAATCCATTTCATGTATTTACAAAGTAACCACCAGAGAGCTGCTCATGTACATTTATCCAGTCAAACAGTAAGAAACGAACTCCATGAGCATCACATTAGGTCCTTTGCCCAAGAACGCCAAAAGTGGCAGATGAACCACTTGCACACCATCCTGTTCACAGATAGCAGCAGGTTCACAACGAGCACCTGTGATACACGTGAAAGAGTTTGGAGACGCGGCGGTGAACGTTAAGTGGAGAGCTGGAAACCCAACGGCCCAGCAGTCATTCCTGTTAGATTTCAGACTTCCACTTAAAGTCCGGCACCTGGAGAGCATGCATAGTGGGCGCATTGCAATAGGTATTCTAAGTGGATGAGTCCACGCAGTCACAAAAACCAGGCAGGCACATGGAGCTCCACACAGACCCACTGATGACGAAACCTGCGTCACTGAGACCCGAGTGGGCCCTAGTAGACTGCTTCAGAAAGTCGCACAGACTCCATGTAATGGTAAATGGTAAATGGCCTGTATTTGTATAGCACTTTTCTAGTCCCTAAGGACCCCAAAGCGCTTTACACAACCTGTCATCCACCCATTCACACACACATTCACACACTGGTGATGGCAGCTACATTGCAGCCACAGCCACCCTGGGGCACACTGACAGAGGCGAGGCTGCCGGACACTGGCGCCACCGGGCCCTCTGACCACCACCAGTAGGCAACGGGTGAAGCGTCTTGCCCAAGGACACAACGACCGAGACTGTCCAAGCTGGGGCTCGAACCGTCAACCTTCCGATTACAAGGCGAACCCTGACTGTGATACCCTGACTGTCTCAGATCCACTCTGAGACCTTATCCTGCTGCAGTGGGTCCTTCATGGTGCAGGAGTGTCTGGTCCTTAGGTAATCAGACTGTGCTAGACATTTTCTAGATGAGAAAGATTCACAGTTCTTATCCACCCACTGTCAGCCTCAGATATCCCTTCACTTAAAGATCCGAGAATAGATTAAAATCCCTGAAACCACGGCTTTTTGCTAACACATTACTTGCACATATATGCTAACCTTGTTTTGTTTTGTTTTTTTAAACTCTGTTCATGCTTAATGTTACCATCCAGTATTATCACAGTGTATATGTGATGGGACAAAAAAACAACTGCTGTTCTTTAAGGCTTCTCCTTCCTTCAATGTCTGCAAACCGAATCTCTGCTCAGAGTCACAGGTTATATATCAGATTCACACAGGCCTAGAGACCAGTTGGCAACTTCTTAGCAACCACCGGTTGTTGGGGAAGAAATGCAGATTCGTTGACACCAAGCAACCACCAGCTACCTAGCAAATGAAAATGTAAATTTCAGTCGTTTAGCGGGGTCTCGATGTTTGTGTGACCGGGGCTTCAGGTGAGCACGTTTCTTGACTTATTTAATAGTTATTATTTATTATGGCTTTCACTTGTTTTATTCCTTAAATGAAAGGAAGCAAGGTCAAAAAAATAAAATAAAAATCAGCTTCATCACACGCCACGGGGGGAAGAAAACTGTCCAGACCAAAAGAATCAGATTTATTTATGTGTTCTGCCAGTGCCTTTCTTATTTTGATTCCTGATTATTAAATGGAGGGTTTTGAATGACCTGTGAGTACATTTTGCGTAGCATTTGTTTCTGGTATCCTCTGTTTTACCTCCTATAGTACTTCCTATAGTCCTCCTGTCACACAGTGTCTGCTTGTATATGCACTCACTCTAAACACTCTAAATTTAATTTTGAAAAGACTATCTCGGAGGGGCCTAAGCATGCTCTCATATATGCTCCGAGACGACTTGTTGTTTCAGATTTCAAATTTTATTATCTCTGCGTAGCAAAGCAGATTTATCTGCAAAAGTATTTCAGGTCACCGCCCGCATTTTTAGTCCGCTCTGATTTGTAGCAACGCTTCATCTTATCTGCCTCTGCCTGCACGTCCAAAGAAAACAGTTTTCGGATCATATTCCAAGTCATTTTCTAAACACAGTGGATGATTTATTTGTCTACCAGTGGAATAAATCGTAAGCTGCAGCTTGACTTTACTTTAGAGCTTCTTTGGTGTCTCTTTGCTACTGTGTCCCCTTCACTCCTTTCTAAATGAAGAATTCATATACTTAAGGTCAGCGCTCTGTTTCCACTCTCTTTCTAAACGAGACAAAATAAAAATAGGCTGTTTCATCAAACACCCGGCCCTTGAAGATGATTGAGGAGTTTGGGTTAGAGAAAGCAAACATTCACAGAAGGATCTGACAGCATTAAATGCCACAGAGTCGCTTTTTTATCCTGTCAAATGTTTCTGCCTTCAGCTGCATCCCAACAAGGCCTTGTATGCCCCCCTCTCCACCACCAGCCCAGTCCCTTGTTTCTGTGACATCACATCCTGTCCCGCCGTGCTTGACTGAACTGTGACATTAAACACATTAGACCAGTTACTAATTGGGCCGCTATTACATTTCCCATTTTGCCGATCTGCGGCAGTCCCAGTGGACGGTTCTCTGTGAGTGTTTTGTTTAACGAAGTAATGAAAAGCATACGATGTTTTCTCAGGGAAGGAGCGGGAGGGAAGGTCTCCGTTCTGAGATCCTCATGACTAATGACAGGGCCCAAAGGATGTACTGCTCTCCTGATACAGTCACATTAGCAGACCTTCACAAAGTTCAGCGTCAAGCTGAAACACTGTTTCCTCCTCATGTTTCTATATTCAAGACAGGAAAAACTAAAGCTCGTGAAGGCAAAGCGGGGCTGCACTTCGTTGTCGACACTACATAAGGTTCATTTTATTTTGCTCTTTGAGTCCTTGTTTCTTTCCCCGTCTCTATTTTCCTCCCTGCTTCCTTCCCTGCGAGTGTGTCAGAGTGAAACTGTGAAACCGCTGGCAGAGAGACACTTTTCCATTCTGACTCAGCTGGCAGTGAAGAGACTTGGATGGAGGAGAAGAGGGAGGTGAAAAGCTCGGTTCAAGGACTGATGAGGACATGACTGTTTGAGAGCGTGGGTGGTTTTAGACATGCAGAGTCTATTAAAAAGCAAGAGGAATTTAGGCCAGTTAAATTTTGCACGGTAACTTTGGTTATCTGTGCTTTTCAGGTGACTTTTCACTGTTTGATCCTGTTGCAGTGAGCGCCACATCAGACTGTTTATTTCTCACCACTATAGATGAATTCCAGGAGCTAAAAAGCGCTTTTCCTCGAGTTCCTGTCACGTGAACACTACACCGATTTTAACGTTTTAGCTGCTAGTGCTATGCTAACAAGTGCTGTTCATTAGCTCGGTCTTTCTGTGCTAAGCTTAGCTAATCGTCTGCTGCTTTAGCTTCATAGTCAGCCGATAGTAGTGATGTGCGATACCACTGATTTCTTTTCCGATCTGATACCAAGTAATATTCAGGGTGGTATCGACGATACTGATCCGATACAGTTACTTTGTACAAAAACT